CACTGTCAACTCCTAGTTTATAGATAGCTGCTTTCAAGACTGCCAGCACCCTGAAGGCAGTGATTGTGGCTTAACAGCAATGATGACCACCACTTATTGTGATCTAAATATTTTATGTAAGCGTTGATGTAACTGGGTGTTTAAAAATAAAGACCAGTGTCTCTCTCCCTACTCCTTCAAAGCCCACCCCTCTCATGTGGGATTCTAAGTCTGAGGAGGCTTCTCTAATGTGTTTGTCTGACAGGAAAATAGAGGCCTTATCAGAAGTTGTCATATTACACTCACCCTTGCGGCAAGGAAAGGGTCTTGCCATCTCTTTGCTTCTGGTGAACAGTCAAAACCTGATGGTCATAAGCACTCAGAAAACAGAAGCTTGATGGCCACAAATCTCCTTTGTCTATTCAGGCAGAGATGGAGGAGTGAAGATCATTTTCTGACTTCTAAATAGAAGGCAAATGTGGCCCCAATCCTCCCGCTGTCCCAACAATAGAAAGGCCATTCTCACAAACAGTGGCTTCATTAGGAAATGAGAATGTCTCCACTCCTTAGAACCTTTGCTCCACACAGGCCATGGGAAGAGATTGACAGTGGGGCCTTAGATCAACCTACCTGCCTCTAAGAACTTTCATCCATGAAGCACCAAGCCATCTTTAAAAATAGCTTCTAGAAAGTTCCACATACCCAGCCATACTCATAGCTCATGTGAACAATATACTTTGATCAACAGGGGTCATCCTCAGGGAGACTCCAACCATTAGACTCACATTATCCCCAGACTGATGGAAAGTCTCTCTCTGTAGAGTAGTGTGGTGCAGTGTTTTAGACCTTTGATGGCAGAATGCAGCACACTGAGTACCATGGAAGGAGAGAGCAGAGTTGAGGTTTGAAATGAAAGTGGACAATTGTGAACAAAAGGATGCAAGAAAGGAGTCAAGACAACAGCTAGCTCACATGCCCCCAAGTCATAGGGTTTCCTGGAGCTCCCGGTAATTTGCCAGGCTCTGGAGATTAGGGACTGCCTATCATTGTCCACCACCTGCCATGGGGATGGGAGATCAGAGCTCTAACATAACAGAAGGGAAGTAGCTGGAGTGGGGAGTTAATCAGGCACTTAATAAAGAGAACTGGGCAAACGCTAGCCTGAGCCTCAAAGCTGGGCCAACACATTTTAAAAACATAAAACAGACTATACCACAGTGTAGTCTTCCTGTAACTAGAACGCCAAAGCAGCTTATGCCCCCATCACTGAGAATCAGTCAATAAGTGGGGATGCAGATAGAATCTTTAAATCACGCTTTACCCAGAGAGCAGGTAAGGAACGTGAATTGATGTGGGATGTCCTCCGGTCTTCCACTTTAGCCAGACACCGGGAGTGGACACAGAGGCCATCATCCCCGAGTTTAGTCTTGCCCCTCGAGACAGGTAGTCTTGTCTAGAAGGGTGTGACTTGGGTGTTTGCCTATTTATCATCTCTTCTCCAAGTGATGGGAGTTTCTGAATTCAGCAGGATGGCTGGGTCTCACTTCCTTCCAGATGGCCATTTGGATTGCATTGAGATTAAAGATTAACCCAAGTCATGCAAACCATTGATGTATTCCTAGGCTGTGTACACTGTGAACATACAGACTCCCTTAATACAAAGTATTAAGGTGGTCCTAGAACGTGAATTCTAAAGGTGCCCCTGTCTGTCCCCTATCACTATCAGCCCCCTAACATTGCATGTCCATCCAGCTCTACCTCCTGGCTCCCAGTGTGGGAAAAAAAGTCAGAGTTCAGGCTCCATGGGAAAGGATGCTCTCTTTGTGTGGTGGTGTGAACGGAGAAAAATCTCACCTGCTTTGAGGTCATGTGGAGAAAGCTGTTGTCTTGGCTGTGAGTGCAAAAGACACCAACATTAGCCATGTCCGCCAGAAGAACAGGTAGTGTGAGTAATCTCTGTAGAAATCCACTCCCATGCCTGACTGCCACATCCTGTTTGTTTCCATCATAGACTTTAAGACATTGTGTTGTCATTTATATTGTTATTAAAGGGTTTGCTCTCTTTTTACTTGTTTACAACTCATCTTTTGCATGGGAGTGTAAGTGCTAAGCGGGGATTTTATTCTGCAATGGTGTCTAGTGAAATGGATCTTCTAGAATCTACCTTCTGTGGGTATTTGTTGAATGAGGAAGTGGATGTTTGTAAAACTCAAAGAATAAATGGATCGATGTGGCACTCTTCATTTATCAGGCACCTTTTTGGTCTTGGTCAAGATCTTTTGTTGGGAATGACAAAATCCTCACCACGTTGTCAGGGGCATAACTGCTATCTCACATAAAATTATAGCTGCTATTCCAGTGTGTACCTTATTCTGGTGGGTAGTTTAGTTAGCACAGGGAGGGTGCTCAGGGACTGTCCACTTCTGACCACTTTAAAGAGTCCATCTCTTGATGCTCTCTGATACCGAAATTTAATGCAAGCATCATCTTCTGTTATCCTTACGAAAGGCGCCTCCCTAGTCTCCTGCTCCATCCCCTGCTTATAGCCTCTATCAAACCATCAGCAAAGCCTTTGCATTTGGTACTGATGTGCCGTTTCTTAGGTTACAGGGTTAAATAAAATCTGCTGGAGCTTAGCAGATTTTTTCCACAATGACTTTCATCCACGGTGCTTAATTAAATCCCTCACCTGGGAAAGAACGGTTTTCTCCAGCCATCTCTTTTCAGTGGCATCAGCAGGCAGCTGTGACTGTTGAAATGGCAAGATGTCAGTTGTTTTTACTGCTGCAGGGCTACCATTACAGAGTGGGCAGAAACTGCGACTTTTGCCTACATTCTTAATTTTTTAATGATCCATCCATTTCATGGGAGAGTCTAAGTCCTGAAGCACTCACATGAATTGTAGAAAAGTCATAAATTTCATGGAAGGAAAACATAGCTGCTCCAAAAGAGGCAGAGATCATAGGTCAATGGTCTTCAGAAGAAGAAAGGCGCTGGGGAGATGGTTCGGTGTCTAAGTCGCTCACTGAGAGGGGCGAAGACCTGGGTTCGACTCCCCTAGGACCCGTGTGAAACCCAGGCATGGTATAGCACTCTGTAACCCAAGTACTCCCAGGACAAGCTGGGAGATGGAAAAGAGAGGATATCTATGGAGACCCCTGGAGGAAGCTAGCATTGCAAATGCAGTACACCAGGAAACTACAAAAGGCCCTGCCTCCAATACGGTGAGGTGGGGACCAATGCCCAAGGCTGCCCTCTGATTCCAATGCGCCCACCATGGCAGCCACACATGCACATGCATGCACACATCTGACGCACAAAAGAAGAGGATACGGAATAGGAGGAGGGGAGAATGGGGAAGAAGAAGAGGAGGGAAAGGAAGAGGAGCAGAGAAGGGATGGGCTCTGGAGAAAGAGAGCCCACCCAGCATAGAGATCCCTGCACATTGCTTCACCATGGAGTTCCATAAAAACCCTTCCCATGCCTGAGCCTTCCAAAGCAGAGATCCATGGCAGGAGCCTTCTCTGGTTCTCTCTGAGCTGCCCTTGAATATCTGATGCCTTCCACTGATCTCTGTCTCCCGGGTTTTCCACGGAGCAGCGGGGAGTGATGCTTAGATATCAGTAACACTGCAAGTCTCTGGGAATCCCAGGTTGAAATAGATAGCTGAGACTTGGCGCTGGCAGCAGAAGAGGCTGCACCAGAATAGCAAGATGGGCACAGAAATCTGCACTGCTCTTGTTCCAGCACCTAAGAACATCAAAAATTAGTTTCCTAAAGAGTGTTTCTCGTGCCATACAAATAAAAAGAAAGACTGCCAGGAGAGGAGGAACCCTGGGAAACTCTTGGCAGGGAGCTGCAAACCCAGGCAGGATGAAAAGGTGACCAAAGGCTGAAGAATAGCAGGCCACTGTGGCACAGCCTTGCATCCCTGCATCAAGAGGCTAAAGCCGGGGGATTGCAGCAAGTTCAAGACCAGACAGGGGTGCGAAGTAAGTCCCAGGCCAGCCTGGGAAGTAATGTATTATCAGGTCTTAAAATGTAAAACTTTGTACTCAGAAAAAAAAATGAATCCCTAGGTATAGGAATAAATTCAAAACTTGGCAAAATCCCTGGTGCTGGCTAATGCTGGGTCTGCAGTGCACAACCCCACTGGCATCAGTAAGTAGCTCCCTCCCTGGGTCTGTGCTCCTTAGCTAGAGATGCTGCAATACCTCTCACAGGTGCAGGGCCTTTTACTCCATCTCCTGCATCTGGAGTGGCCTTAGGAATGCCGGTGGTCAATAAAGAGACAAACGTGAAAATGTAGCCTTTCCTCATCCTTAGTTACATATTAAGTGTGAGACCAGCCTGGGCAACATACGTGAAACTTTGCCACACCAATGCCCCATGTGTTCCTTTTTAAAATTTATTTATCTTTATTTTATGTGCAATGTGATTTGCTGGCATATACGTCTGTGTGAGGGTGTCAGATCCCCTGGACCTGAAGCCGTAGATAGATGTGAGCTGCCATGTGGGTGCTGGGAATTAAACCCAGAGGAGCATCCTGTGTTCCTAACCACTGGACCATCTCTCTATTCCCGCCTGTGTGTTTTTAATCCAATCAAGGTGACAGTAAATTAACCATCACTAATAAAGATAATAGTAAAGATTGTGACTGGCTTTACATGTAAGTTCTAGACAATAATACAAAAGCAAAATACAGCCATATCTACATAGAGACAGGGGGAAATCTGGAAGGACATAGAGAAGATGGAAGACCTTGATACTCATTGAATGTGGGCATTTTTTAAATGAAAATAAGATCTGTGTGTATTAAAAGTAAAGATAATCACATTTTTAAAAGGCACAGAAATTGTATTTGCTTTCCTTTTTCTGGGGCTGGGGTAAGAGCCAGTGAAATTGTTTTTGTTTTATTTCCATTTATGTTAGGATTGTTTGAGTGAATGAAAAACTACCTAACATTAAAGTCCCTTCCTAGTTTTACTTCCCTGCCCAACTTATCCATTCTTCATTTTCAGGCCAGGAGACATGATTACTCTTCTAGAAGACTCCAACGAAGACTGGTGGAAAGTAGGTATTTTGATCTTTAAAAAAAAAAAATAAGAATCCCGTGGTGATGACAGTGACGATAAACGTTACATTTGCCGCTGAATGTCTCCTCTTCCATTTCAGGGAAAGATTCGGGACAGGGTTGGTTTCTTTCCAGCCAACTTTGTTCAGAGAGTAGAACAGCATGAGAAGATTTATAGGTGTGTTAGAACCTTCATTGGCTGCAAGGACCAGGGACAAATAACTCTGAAAGAGAACCAGGTAAGCACTGTGCACAAATGCACCATGTGCACACAAGCAGGGACAAATGAGGGGACCAGGTATGCCATTTGAGAAAACATGACCTTGTGCCAGTGGTGTGGGGATAGGTAGAATCCAACATGCAAAACCGAACAACAGGAAACTAGCTATTTAAATTAGCTTCTATCATTGTGATAAAATACCACAACTAAAAGTCATTTAGGGAGGCGAGGATTTATTTTAGCTTAGATTTTTCAGAAAGTTAGAGCCCATAACGGCTGGGAAGGCATGGCAACAGGGCCAGGAAGCCGGCTGATCGATCACATTTCATTCAAACATAGGAAGGATAGTGGGGAGGGGGGGGGAGAGGAGGGAGAGGAAGGACAGGAAATGGGAATAAATAATAAACCCCCAAAGCCCGCCCCTACTGACGCACTTTCTCCAGCCAGGCTTTACCTCCTTAAGGTTCCATAACTTCCCCCAAACAGAGCCAGGAACTGGAGACCAAGTACTCAGATCAATGAGCCTGCAGGAGACATTTCTCATTCAAACCACGCACCACGCATACTTAGTGGTATCTGTCAGAGAAGATGCATATATATATATATTCACAGTGTCTTAAGAAAGCACCTCATCCCTGAACTTGGGTCTGAGGACCACCTAACTGATGTTAGCAGCTACTCCAGTTCCAGTTTTCACACTGGGCTTGTGGCCACCAATGTGTCATCACCTAATGGGAAAACTTTGTCATTGCATACGAGTGTGCTCCAGGGCTTGGTGTGCTGGCTCTTGTCACATGGAGCCCTGTCGGATCACCTTATCAAGACTCCAAGCCTCTATATGTCCCCTAAACACCATACACTTTCCCGTAACAGGATAAAACAGAGGCAAAGCCCGGACTGAAACCCATCCTGGGCAGAGACTCTGGCCATCTCTCTGCTCTCACCTACAAGTTCCTGTACCTTTTTGCTCAGTGCTGTGTTGAATGGCCTGTTCTGTGAGGTTATCTGCTTCCCTGAGTCCTCTCCATGTATCATGTCCTTTGGCTACATCCTTCCTTCTGGATTCCTTAGCTCTGCTATAGAATGCAGATTGAAACAAAGAGGAAATCACAGCCCAGCGCTGCCTGCTCCTCTGTGAGTCCCCTTCCAGCACAGAGGCACTGTCTTTCTGCTCTCCTTATTTCTTTTCATGTCACATACCTCATTGTCACTACAGGGCAGAATGGCATGCTCAAGTCTCCAAGATCGCTCTGGATAAGTCAGAAGAGGATGTGGGGGACCAGAGTTAGAAATGCCCTCTTTCTCCATGAAGTCTCACAGTTGATTGCAATGTTCAGTCTTGGAAGTCAGAAACTGGCCTCTTTCTACAATCTTGATATATAGTAATTCTAGCAATTCTCAAGGCAATGGGTATCTCTAGTTGAAAATGTGGAAATTACAAGGCTCGGTCTCCAAGAAAGTAAAGAATGAGACATGCATTCATAATTTAATACTTGTCTATTCAACACATTTGCTCCAAATGTGTCTGGATGTCATTTACTTAATTTTATTATTCTATCTTATGTGTGTAGAGACTGTGCCTGTATGCATGTCAGGTGCTAGGAAAGCCAAGTGAGGTGAGGCATTGACTCCCTGTGATCTGGAGTTATAGACAGTTGTGAGTCAACATGGGGGTTCCGGGGATCAAACCTGAGTCCTCTGGAAGAACAGCCAGTGCTCTTAACCACTGAGCCATTTTCTTTTTAGGGAATTACCTTCAAAGAAAGTTACAAAGTCTCACACACACATGACTTGGCATTGCTTCATAATTATAATGGATGTATTGTTCTAAAATACTGTTATAACTCAACTCAATCAACCATTTTCTTTCCCATATGAGGCTCCAAATGACTTATCAAATTGATAACTGCTTCCTCACACTGGACCTGTAGTTTACCACACAATTCCAGCATTCAGGAATCAAGGGCAAGAAAATCTCAAGGTCAAGGTCAGCATAAAAGGTGAATTCAAATCCAGGCTGAACTACCTGTCTGTCCCAAAATAGCCAAGACTTAGGGTATAGCTCAGTGATAGAGCACAAGGCCCTGAGCTTGCTTTCTAATGTTTAAAAAAAAAAAAAAGAAGCCCTCCCAAAAGGAATGATTCACCTTTTGTCATGGCTAGTCAATAGAATGCCTAAAAGAAATCTAAAGAAAATTTACAACGTGAAAAAGTGTTTAAAAAAAAACATGTCTATTAATCTTAAAGTCAAGTAAATAAAAATTATTAAAACTAAGACAGCAATAAATCAGAGCATTGTTTTCCAATCTATCTTAACAACAGTAGTAGATGGAGTTCGATGACATTGGCTTCCTGTAAATCCTAATATGCATCTGTCCACTCGTTTTGAGTAGTTACTCAGCCTGTGTATTAAGAGGCAGCAATATTCTTCAGCCCTATGCATGCTATAATTCCATTTTCTGCAGTGAACTCCTGAAAATAATCCATCTACGGAGGGTGGGAGGGAGAAGCTGGGCAAGGAATGACTTTCTCATTGAATCCACGGACTTGGATAAGGGAGGGGTAGGGATGCTGACTATTAGGTTTTGTTTCCCAGGTGTAAGAAAGCCTCTGGGCTGAGCTGAGGTGGGCTCTGTCATCTTGATGCTTGAGAGGCAAAGGCAGGAGGGTCAGGAGTTTTATGCCAGCCGGGGATACATTAGATCAAACAGAAGTCCTAATTTAAGATTATTATTGTTAAATCTGAGCATGGGGAAGCACACTTTTAATCCCAGCATTCAGAAATCAAAAGCAGTCTAATCTCTGAGCGCCCAAGATCCGTATTGTCTACAGAGTGAGTTCGAGGCCAGTCAAGGCCACATACGTAGTAAGACCCTGACTCCAAAAACATCAATGTTATGATAATAACAAATAGAATATTCAAACTTGACATCTGCTTTAACGTCTTACATTATTAGTTTATATTAAAACTTTCAAAACCTCTTAAAGAAATGTAATATAGTAGGAAGTTCGTTGATGCCAAAGTCATGAAGAAATGGATCTGTGTCATGTGTGGTTTTGATAATCACCTCTAAATGTCACCTAAAATGTCAGCATGGTAGCATCTCCCTGATGTAGACCTGAGAGTTCAATGTGGCCTCCTGTATAGACAGCATGGTGCCTGGGAACCATGGGTATTAACAAAAGTCATTTCCCATCATCATAACTCAGAGCGGGTCTCAATGGGGACTTCATCTGCACTGGTAAACACCAGTGTAAGGCACCCCCATGAGTCCCCAAAATAGCCAGTGTGATATTTATAACTCTAAAAACATAGAGAGGCAAGTGGCTATTAACAGAGGGATAGGAGAAAATTGATTCTGAAAATAAATGCAATGCTTTTTTATTAAGTCACATTTCTGTTTCTGAGGTAAATCTTTCGTAATTATTACATTGTTTATCCACAGCGTGCTTGTTTCCAGATGGAATTAAGTTATCCATTATGAACACGTAGGAGTCTGCTTGACAGGATAAATTTTCTTCATTTTTTTAAATTTAAGAAGAATCCTACTTAGTCAGCTTTACATTCCTTTAAAACATTTTCATAATGTCATCCATGGTCTGTCACAGCTGTAGAAATGTTTTCATGGATTCCTTGTGTTGTTGCAAAAAAAAAAAAATAAATCAGATGTCTTTAGATTGTATAACTGAAATTTGTTTATTATATGGAAATTTAGAAAATAATGCTTTTAAAGACAGAAGAAAATAGCAACCACAGCAACTCAACCATTAAGTTGTTAGCATTAAAATCTTTGTCATATTTCATGTCAAGTTTTCCTTCGAATGCATAGTTTAATATCATATCTTATTTAGTCTATCTAATTCTATTTAGTTTCATCAAAATATAGTTTGTAACAGTTGTACATACATCAGAGAGGCAAACTTTGACACATTGGCCAAATCTGGTAACTTATGGTTTTTAATACATGACAAGGTTTAGGATTTTACTTTTATTTTTAACTATTTTTATTGTTGGTATGTGTACAAGTATAGTACTCATGGAAATCAGAAAGAAGGGGACATCTGATCCCTTGCAGCTAGAGTTACGGGCAATTGTATTGACTGGTGATGAGGTGTAGGACCCAAAAGCAGTAAGAGCTATTCAGCACAGAGTCATCTCAGTCCCCATTCTCTTTGTTGGTGTGGAGCCTTATATCGCGGTTTAATAAGGATCAGGATAAACAATTAGGCTGAACAGATGTTTATTTAGCAAGAAATAACTCACAACGTAGACAGGTGAACACCAGCAGGTTCCTGGTCCCAAGGATGCCAGCAAGAGAGCGTTCCCGGCTCCTCCTCAGACCTAGTTCCACAGGTCACTTCCACCCCTGGCTCCACCCCCAATGGGCGTGGTCAGTGCCACAGAAGGAGACAAAGTGAATATCCCACTACAACCTTATATATTTAATGTGGATTGCTACCATATGCTTTTTTATTTAAATTAGAAACAATCTTATTTTATATATTAATCCCAGTTCCCTCTCTTTTTTAAATAACTTTTTTAGAATGTCTACACCAGATCTGGGGACAGAATGTCTGCTTAATATTCTCCATGGTCTGTCTTAGCAACACACACACACACACACTTATATACATCTATAAGAAATAATTACACATGTACTTAATACGTGTATATATATAGATTTCTGTATCTTTTCTAACCCTGTAATGGTTGGGTTAAGCAACTGCAACAGAAACAACGTGGCCTGCAAGCCTAAAATGTTTATTTACCCTTTATAGAACAAGTTTGCTAACTCTATTCTAGATATACAAAAATGTGTTTAAATATCAACTGTTCCTGGATATTCAAGAGATTTTTTTTAACTTTAACTATTATTGATAACTACAATGAACAGCGTTAAACTTAAATCTTTCTAATTTTGATTATTTCCTTAAGTCAGACTTTAGAATTTATAGGAAAATGGAATGGGACTTTTGTACATTTATTGATTTGTGAGTGTGTGTGTACGTATGTGTATA